AATAAAAAACAATGGTTATCATTGAGCTTTCCATGTAATGCATTCATACCTGTCGGTGGAGTCTTTTTAAGTATACTTTTAATTGGTGACTTGGGTTTAGAGTTTTTGTCAACTTGATTCTTCTTTGCCTGTTCATGTTTCTTGATATATGTTTGTAACCGAGGCTTTAAAATTCGTCGAAAGTGGTCTTTCATCGATTGCCAGCTATGATCAGTAATCTGAGAATAAACAGTGAATGATTTAAATGTTTCTTCTAACAACAACGATCATCCGTTCCATTAATTGGACTAATTGGAGTTTAATTGTTGAGTTGTTGGATACTTAGAGTATGTTTTAAGTCAGAGGTAACATGAGTTTAAACATAGAAAATCTGACACATGGAAAGAATCAAAGAAAGCTTAGAAAGAATTCCTGTGAGAGTATTGAAGACACATTAAAAATTAAATCAAAATTACTTGTACATGAGATATTGATGGAAAAGCTGAAAACTAATTATATAAATCAGGTAACTATTATGAACAGAACAGAACAAGAAAATTATGAATTATTATGCTAATTAGAGAATTAATGTGAACAAATTTTAACCCAAAATTAATCAGGCCTGTCTATTGTCCTAGAGCATTCATGTTCCAAATTTTATTCAAATGTGATGATCAGTAATTGAGATATCAGTGTTAATTATGTTAATTAGGTGATTAATAAGCATAAATATTTACCAAAAACTAATTGGGTCTCTGCATAGTTCTCTTTAAAAGTTTCATTAAAATCCAATTCGTGGTTATTTATATATCAGTGGAACATTATGCAAATTAGGTAATTAATATCCAATTAAAACTAATTGGGTCTCTGCATAGTTCTCTTTAAAAGTTTCATTAAAATCCAATTCGTGGTTATTTATATATCAGTGGAACATTATGCAAATTAGGTAATTAATATCCAATTAAAACTAATTGGGTCTCTGCATAGTTCTCTTTAAAAGTTTCATTAAAATCCAATTCGTGGTTATTTATATATCAGTGGAACATTATGCAAATTAGGTAATTAATATCCAATTAAAACTAATCAGGTCTCTCTGCATAGTCCTAAAAGATCTATGCAGCAAGTCTCATTGAAATATGATGATTAGTACTTGAGATATCAGGCAAAAAGCTGAAAATTAACTAATTATGCTAATAAGGTAATCAATATGCACAAATATTTTACCAAAAACTAATCAGGGGTCTGCACAGTCCTTAAAGGCCCAATTCACTTGCCCCAGGCAAGTGTGAATTGAAGGTGTGGCTATGCTAATGTGTGTTGTTAATCACTTGCATAGCCTATGACGCATCCTGTTTCAGCGGTCCAACATCACATGACTTTGATTGACAGTAGTTAATTATTTCGTGTTTTTGACTTTTATCCGCCAAAATCTCTGCTCGTACACTATTAATTGTCATAAATACTAAACACAGTCACTGCTGTGATATTCATAGTCACATACATTCACTTTGGCACGACATAATCGACCTGTAAGGATGAGAAAACGCGTTTTTACCGGAGCTTGGCTTGAGTTGTTTACTACAGCTTGACAAGCAAGGAAATAATCCCTATTGTTTAGGAGCGTATTTATAGTATACCTGGGCCTTTAAGTAACTATGTACTAAGTGTCATTGAAATGTGATGATTACTACTTGAAATATCAAAAGCTGAAAATTAATTCATTATGCAAATTAGGTAATTAATATGTACTGCTATTACCCTAAAAACTATCAGGTCTGTGCAGTGTCCTATGACATCTATGTACCAAATTTCATTGAAATGTGATGATTACTACTTGAAATATCAAAAGCTGAAAATGAATTAATTATGCAAATTAGGTAATTAATAAGTACTCATATTACCCTAAAAACTATCAGGTTTGTGCAGTGTACTATGACATCCATGTACCAAGTTTTATTGAAATGTGATGATTACTACTTGAGATATCAGTGGAAAAGCCGAAAATTGATTAATCATTATGCAAATTAGGTAATTAATATTGCACGGATTTTTACCCAAAACTAATCAAATCTGCGCATTAGTCTGGAGCAAAAACAAAAAACATCAAGGTGGACTGATATCGTTTAAGTACTTTAATTTCTTAGCCAAGTGGTTGAATTCCTTAAGAAAAGAAAAAGCTTATAGAGAGTAATTTGGTGATCCAAGAAATAAATTATTTATACTGTATTTTGCTCTATTGAAAATAAATTTCAAATAGAAGCGTCTATACATATATAAGTTTGTTTTTTAATGAATTATTGAAATATTACGCACATTGATCAAAGATATGCACGACTAATAGAGCAAAGGAGACACTGTAGACACACTCGCATGCACTACAAATTGGAGCACATGCGGTAGAAGGCTTACAGTAACCACAGAACCAACTATGCTATCACTACAAGACAATTCTCAAAGAATGTGACGGTACCTTCAGCATTTCCATCTTCTTCCATATTTGGTTACCACCAAGACACTCATAGCGATGTAAAGCAAGATATTTAAGTATCTTATCATCCTCTACAGAATTATACTTGGATCGTCCAACGCTATAGAAAGATTAACAATAAAACAATGAAGAGCACCCTAGTGCAATTAAAGAATACTATGCTGTGAAAGACAAATTTATATTTGAGTGAATACTTGTTTTTAGACATACTAAGTCACTCAATGATGGTGTGGGTGGAGTATGAATGCTTCCCTGCATACTGGGTCACTCAATGATGGTGTGGGTGGAGTATGAATGTTTAGCTGCATACTAAGTCACTCAATGATGGTGTGGGTGGAGTATGAATGCTTACTCGCATACTAAGTCACTCAATGATGGTGTGGGTGGAGTATGAATGCTTCCCTGCATACTGGGTCACTCAATGATGGTGTGGGTGGAGTATGAATGCTTCCCTGCATACTGGGTCACTCAATGATGGTGTGGGTGGAGTATGAATGCTTAGCTGCATACTGATTCACTTAATGATGGTGTGGGAGGAGAGTGAATGCTTACCTGCATACTACCGGGTAAGTCACTCAATGATAGTGTGAGTGGAGTATGAATGCTTACCTGAATACTGAGTCACTCAATGATGGTGTGAGTGGAGTATGAATGCTTACCTGCATACTGAGTCACTCAATGATGGTGTGGGTGGAGTATGAATGCTTACCTGCATACTGAGTCACTCAATGATGGTGTGGGCGAACTCGCCTTAAACTTCAATCTGAAATAAATGATTGACAAAATGTGTTAGTGAGATTCTCATATCACCAAATGGTGATTAGATATTTTTTTACAACCCAGCTAAAAATATATGGTCACCAAACATCCATGAAAATGGAGATTTTTGAACCATTTACCATTGCTTCCTTGGATAAAATGTTCTCACCATACACTGTACTTACACATGGCATAATTTCGATGACAAAAATTCAAAAAAAAATTCCTAAATGGATTTCAGAAAATAAATTGACCAGAAATGAAGCATGTGCATCAGCCAGTTGCATCGTACATATTTTTTTTTCGAAAAAAAAGTAAGAGAATGAAACTCTTCAGTTTCTCTAAAATCAACACAAATTCAGTGCGATAAAGTCAGTAAGCAAGTTATAATTGCATGTTCATTGAAAACACAACCAGTTGATTACTTGTTAGTAGATTATTCTCTATGATATATTGTACTAAGACAATACAAACCAATGTCCATATGTGCTTGTATCTCGCAAAAACTTTACCATAACATATACTGTTGAAGACTTAATTAAACTTAGCCGAAATTCTTATTATGGTGAGCTGAATGTCGTATATATTTAAAATGATTGTAGGTGAGTAACACAAATGTATTTCTTTGAACTTTCTTCTCGCAAACATAAATTACAATCGTTTATTTTAGCCCTGATCACCAATAGCGTAGTATTTATTGCACCAGACAAAGTCCAAGCTCAAGTTGAATACCAAACAAGATTGACCTCGTACTATGACCAAGTGTGCCACAGCCTCAGCATTGTATGAAGGGGGCATGATGCCTGAAAATGAGATAGTCTCACCTACGATATGCTATGAGATGTGTGAAATCTGCTGAACTGGACAAGTGGGAAATTTTGCCCTCCAAGTGGCAGCTAATATAAATTCCTTTGTTTTACTGATGACTTACTTGTATTTATCTGTAGATATCAGTCTATTTTGTTGAACACAGTCATTGATATATGTTGCATTGATGTAGTTATCAGATCGTATGCTATCCTTGGCATCTGCAATTCTGAATATGCAATGACATACTAAATAATTTAAAACATAAATTTTTTTCTATTAAGTAACTTTGGCCATTCTTGTTTTGTAATATGAAAGCAATGAGTATATGTATTTACAACAATATTGCGATTGTTTCACTGACCAGTACATTGTAGCGTAGAGATTGTTTCAGTGACCAGTAACAAGTGGCCACCTCTAAAAATAATTATTTGTTCATGGTATGATTAATTTTATTAAATATTTGTTGGTAAAGTTTTGGCAAACAAGAAAGGTGTTAGGCAACCAGTACATTAATAAAAATAACACAAAATTGGATGTCCTAAAAAAGAAAAAAAACTTTTGCTAAATTAAAAGGGCACATTTATAATGATAAACCCTTAGAAAATGAACATAAAATTTTATTTTTGGAAGCACATTTATGCAAAAAATTGCATTTAAATGTTTAATTTTTGATAAATAATAGGGCCAATTTAGCATAACAATGAATATGATAAAATAATTCACATATATGTACTGTATTGTTATGCAAATTAACCAATACAATATGATATTCTTCTGAGAAGAACATTGTATTTTGGCAACATACACACACCTGTCATTTACCTAATAAGTGCATCTGCTAGTAATATAGCAAATGCACAATATGTTTATTTCTGAAGTCTGCAATTAGGGGGGGGGGGGGCTATGCTATTAAATACAGTAAAATATTTTACTTGGGAATAATTTTCACTGAATAGACGTTAGTGTTTTGTACAAAATATATTTGAGTTGAGTTGAATGTAAAATATAGAAAAAAAATGGGATATTCGTTATATTTTATTTTCACTGAATCATCCCTTCAGCAAAAGTAAAGTATATTACAGTAATAGTATATCAATTGGGAGTATACTAACTAGCTTTTCTCAGGCCTGCCTTTTTAGAATGCCCAGAGACTGAAAAATTAACTCTCCTAAAACACTGAGGCATCCTTAGTCTTTAGTCTTAATTTGGATGAGTCATAGGTCAGTTAAGTGATCACTCGCCTTGGAAAGTAAGGTCTGATTACCAACTCATGATACTGTCATGTGGTATGCCACTTGGGTCATTTGTTTGTTGGAGCACTGAAATGGTAATACAAATTTTGCAAAAACTTACTTTATACAGTTTTGATCCAACTTGCTCGTGATAATTCCACCTCCATGCTACAAATATAAAAAAAACACATTAATACTATTTTCGCTTCCAATAAAACAACTACCCTAGTGATATTTTTACTGCTTTTAACAAATTGCTGAAAAAAAATAAAACACTCAAGAATCATTTTAACAAGTTTCTCTGCTGCCAGTCAAACACAGATGTCGATACAAACATTTTTTGGTAATATCAATTACATGATTGGAAACCATGCCATTAATGCTGTCAGTAGTGATGGCAGTACAGGTGGTATGATGGTCTTCAGGTTTGTATTATTCAGTCAATACCGAACTTGGTTCAAAACAGGGCGTCTGAGGTAATAACATCTACCAGTAGCGTACTTTGCCACAAAATTCATCAGATTGGCAAACAAATCACAAGACAATTCTTCATACAGTGACAGTTTTTGACCCAACAAGGCTTGGTAATTGATAAGCAGCCCAAGTCCCCTGATTGGGGATATACTCCCTCAATCTTTAACTTAATTTGTTCACACCTAGAAAAGTTATTTGGAGATTTTTTCGAAAAATAAAACACTGTTATAGATATAACTGGGTAATGAGGAGAAAAACATAACGTAACTATTAGAACCTTGTCCGTTTATTCAGAGTCTCAAACTTTTCTTTGCATAGCAAAAGTGAAACGATGTATTTATATATGCAAACATTTTGCATAGAAAATACTGACTAAAATTTAATAATTAATTAAATAATTAATATTCATCTTCCTCAAATTATACTACAAGCACTATATTAATCTCAATATCACTTATAGAACAATGTAACATTGTATAAAAGTTCCTAAAATAAATAATAGTAGAGCAAACACATCTATCGGTGAGCAAAATTTTGCAAGAAAATACCTAAATACTACATGTACAATGTTCCTTAAGTTATAGAATAATAAAATGATTGTATAACTCCACTAACAACACATCTTTTTACTACACTTATTGACAGATATTGGAGAGCATATTACTAACATCTGGTTCTCATTATCAGTAGTAAAAATGTCTTCGTTCTGTCCAATTATTTCTACGTCTTTGTAAGACAGAATTATTAATTTTATCCCATGTCTTGAAAATAAACCTGCCAGTTAGACTGATAATCATAGTTCCTAAACTGGCTACAGTAAAATTCATGTTTGAACAAATTTTTAGACATCTCGACCCAAAATTCTCTTGACACAGACACCCTGGACATCTCGACCCACCACATCGACCCAACCCTATGTGGCGACGCGACGCGACGTTCAAAATTGATAGTGTCGCCCTTCATAACTTAATAATCCTGCGATGGTATACATCGTACTGTATTTGAATGATTGACATCTATTGATTCAAAACATGAAACCCAGAGAGCCTGATTGAACCGATTCGTAAATGCAAATCAACTGCCATCTTGGGCTCTACCATTTAACTTGGTGGGTGTATATAGCGTTTCAGTGATATGGCAAATAGCAAGGATATATTTCCCCAGTACGGCATTTCTCATTTCGTACAGCAAGAATATATATTAGTACGTCATGTCTCCTTTCCAATCAATGGCAAGGATATACCGCATACATCAATACCGTATACCGTAAAATTCCTTTTTGAGGCCGCATGTCTATTTGTAGCCGACCCCAGACTTTGCAACAATGTATCAATCAAAAAATGTGGAATTTTCAGTTACACCAAAATATCCTAATTGAAGCCGACCTGCTTTTCTGAGACAGACCTGTGTTTGCCTTGTTTCCTGTCAGTGAGTACATGCCATGGCCCCGTAAACAAAGGAAGGTTTGAGTGATAGACATTATTTTTATTGTGCAATACCAAATGTTTGCTTGTTGTGTTTCCTGTAGGTCACCATATGCTTGCTATATCTTGTCCCTCTTTCTGTCTAATAAACAAACGTTGTCTAATTGTTTGTGTTTGAGTGTTAGACATGGTGTTATTTTTATTGTATGTGTGACAATAAACTTGAGTGGAACCGACTTGATATGCCGACATGGTAATAGGGTTGTGAAACGGTCAATGAAATAAAGTAATACACTCTTCCTGTCTTGAGTAAAACAAAAGCTCAGTGACAATCGATTAAACGAATATTTGTTCGTGATTGGTTGAAAAAATACAATGAAAGAGATGCATCAAGATATGAACCCGAGTTTTGAAGAAATTTTCATTTTGGGTCCAGTTCTGATACTGCTCAAAGTTCTCTGTTCGCTTATGCAACTTATCGTTATTTTTATCGAAGCCATGCCTCATCAAATTAGCCGTATTAGCCGTGCTTTTTATGATTCATCTTTCAAACTAAAAGCTGTTTGTAAAGCACTTGAGTGGAAGAACGACAGAAAAACGGCTGACCACTTTGGTATTAACGAGAAACAAGTCCGTCAATGGATTCGAGCGAAGATCAATTATACAACAACAAGAGTCAAGCCCAACGATTGCCTGGTGCTGGCCGTAGAGTGAAGGAGAAGACTTTAAGATGACAGGCTCGTACAGTGGTTTGACGGACTCAGGAAAAATGGCAATCAGCTACAAATACAAGCTCGAAGAATGAGTAAGGACAGCACGTTTAAAGCAACCGATGACTGGGTTCATGCATTTAAGGCACGTCATTCGTTATCAACTCACTCCCGTACATCAATTGGGCAAAAATTACCAGCCGACTACGAGGACAAGATCCTGAAATTCCAGCGATACGTCATCCAGTTGCGTCATCAGCATGGTTATCCTCTGAGTGACATATACAACATGGACGAGACACCGTTGTGGTTCGATATGCCCGGGAACCGTACTCTGGAACACCAGGGTATCAAAACAGTGCACATTAAAACCACAAATTCAAAAAAAGGGGGCTGCAGTTTTGACGATAATGGCTGATGGTCAGAAGGTCCGTCCGTTAATTATATTCAAAGGAAAATGACGACTAGACAACCTCACGTGGAAAGAAATAAGAGTGGAAGTACAAAAAAAGGGATATATAAACGAGTCCTGTAAGTAAGTATTTATTTGTTTGTTCCGTGGATTTCTATGAAAGGTCACATGATTTACACGTAAAAAATTGAAACATTAACTCGATTCGTCATGTTTTTTTTTACTTCAAGATGGCCGCGCAAAAATATAGACAAATCAAATTCTTGCGGTCAAAATCATTGAATTTATCAATCAATTTCATTCCACACTATTACCAAACGCTGTTTTTTTTCGATAGTTTTCCGAGTTTTCTTTTCCCAAACGTGGCGACGACTCGCAGCGTGCACCTCACAGCAAAGGTGAAAGAAGAGTTGTATTCCCGCAACATAGACATCGCTGTTATTCCTGGTGAATTAATGTCTCTTCTCCAGCCGTTAGATGTGGGCGTTAATAAACCGCTGAAGGACGATATGCACGTAGAGTGTGACGAGTGGATGAAAACCGGTGAGGCACTATTCACACCAGCTGGTAAACGCAAGGCCCCCGTTAAGAAGACCGTGCTTGAGTGAGTTGTTACGTTGTGGAACAAAATTCTGGAATCAACAGCTACAAATTCTTTTAAAAAGACTGGGATATCCAATTCTCTTGATGGAGCTGAGGATAACCTGCTCTACGAAGACCTTGAAACAGACGACGAAGCAGTTGGTGAAGAAATTGCAGAGATATTTTACAGGGACGACGATGATGACGGCTAAGACATTTATTGATTTTAACAATCCAACTAACTGTGTGGCTTCCACACAACCAAACAAAACAGTCCTTTTCAGGGTCATCACATATTCCAAAAAGAGCGAGACTGCACCAAACTACCATGTGTGTATTTATTGAATATTATGTGAGACTAATATTTGCATGCATTTTGAATGTTTATTGAGGCATTTTTTTTTTGTTATTGTTTAGTTACTAAGCTTGAAACAAAGTCTCGACCATATGCATGCATCTCATTAACATATCATTAACCCCTAATTTGCATATCCATGCACTGGGCTTTCAAACATCTTCAATTGAAGCCGACCCCTGACTTTTTGTTTTTCAAGTGGGAGGGCCGAGATTTCCATTCTTGATTAAGCCACGGCCTCAAAAAGGAATTTTACGGTACATCTTTGCCAATGCGCATTGTTCTTTTGTAAGTGTTAATTAAAGATGATTCTCACTGACTTTTATTATAGGTGAGGTGATGCTTTTTGCTGATGTTCCTATAATAAGTATGTAAGAGGTAATACCAACACACAAAATTGTTTACTTAAAAGCGTGATTGTTACAATAATGTAAATGTCTTTCCTTTGATTTTTTAGGTACACAGTGTAATATTTGTCATACAATGCCGCAAAAGAAGTATTCTTTTCTAGTAATAAAAATGATTGTGGTGTGACATAATAGCACTTAGTGTTTAACCTGGTTATTTTTATGGACATTATAATGAAGTTTATTACGTTTGATTATTCCATAGTAAAGATGGTTCAATCCATAAGTTTTGGCGTCTCGTTGTTCATTCTTTTCATATATATTTTTCTCAGCATTGTATTGTTTGCGGTTACAAAGCATTGTTAATCACATGCCAACATTTAGGTACTTGACAAATTTTTAAAAAGTGGCGCCCACCGAAGATCGCAATTGCACGTGAAGCACCAACGTATGCCACTAAGTGCTTTTAACCCACGTACGTTTCAAACAATATTACCGACATATGCAACTCATTACTAAATGATTTCAGCTTCCATATGTTTTCAACAATTTTGTATATATGACTATGATTTTAACTCTCGTACATTTTAAAAGGTAATTATATTTTTTAATGAATATGATTGGCCGGGAAGTGTGAAATAGTAAAATATTTTTAACAAATTTTAATTGGATAAGAAGTGTGAAATGTCGGCAAAAATCAACTTTCAATAAAAAAAAAACTGCTTATGAGGTCCATGAGTTCAGGATTTCAACCTGCTCAAGCTGTTCTCAATACATTCCCTGAGTTCCAAGTTAAATCAAAGTTATGTCTGCTATTCCCGTGTACCCATGCGATGTATGTTCTATGGAAGTTCGTCCTCGCCAAGAAGCTCTTGAGTGGCAACTGCAATAGATGACAACAACGCAAGTGTAATTCTAGTGTTTCAAGGAATGTTTATCGTCAACTTATTCGTGGAGACATAGAATCTATTACACGGCATTGCAGTGATTGTCCGTCGCCTAGTGTTGAATTGTTAGAGACTGACGCAACCGCTGTAATTGAGCAGCCAATTGATGCTGATATGGATGTCCAGCCAATGCCATTGTTATCGGACTCTGACAACTCTTTTACAGCACTTTCGAATGAAGATCTGCCAAATCCCATTCCTCGTTTTGGAGAAGAAAACATCGTTACACATGCGATCATCAAAGGAATGTCCATTCAAGGTAACTTCATGTTAGTGGATAACCAAGGTTATTCCTATAAAGCGAAGACCGTAAAAAACTCAAGGAAGACAACATGGTGTTGCAGTGCCAGGCCAGCCGGGTATTTCGACAAAATAAAAAAGCATGGTTGAAGTTAATAAGACTGCTAAAGGCAACATACACTGTACAATGTTCTGCTGCAGATATAGTACAAGAGGCGATCGGCAATGGAGACATATTAGACGAACCATCATACAGTTACCCCGTAGAAGCCAATTTAATTCGTACTGCCAACCATCTTAAACAAAAAATGAGATCTAAAGAACCACATGCAATAGATTTCGATCTTGAAACTGGTTTCCTGCCTCCAGATTTTGTCAAAAGAGACCTTAGAATGGATGGTTACATCACCTAGGCCATTCAAAGACATGGTACATGGACGCAACATTTAAGATTGTCAGCCGACCATTTTATCAGATGTTCTCCATTGTGGAAATTGTGGATTGTGAAAATATCAAACAGTTGTCACTGGAGTATGTTCTGATGTTGAGGAGAACGGCAAGAGACTATGAGGAAGTCTCGAAGAATGTTAAACTAGCTTTGCCAGGACTCGGGGTACAGAAATTTGTGATGGACTTCGAGGCAGGTATGTTGGCTGCGGTGAGGAGTGTTTTTCCTGGCTCTCACATCAAGGGCTGCTATTTTCACTGGACATAAGCTGTGTTGGGCAGCTCGGGTTGCAAGTTTCTTATAACGAGAACGGCCCTACTCATCATTATATCCGCCAACTAATAGCATTACCATTCCTACCCGAAGATGAAATCATCGGCTGCATGATTAGTAGAAGAGACTGATGGACTCGTGCAGTATACAAGATCGACATGGATAGAAAGTGCAAATTGGCCACCATCATCATGGACGGTATACAGAAGAACCATTCGCAGGAATAACGACGTTGAGGGCTAGCACCGCTGTTTGAATTCAAGAACAGGAAGAAGCAAGCTTCAATTATATGTTATTATACCGCTACTGCATAGAGGCAATGTACACTAAAGTACAATTAAAATTAATTAAAGAAGACAAATTACAATGATAACAAAGATCAATATACAGACAAGTACAGGGCAAGATATTTAAGTTGTGAGATCAACATGTTGCTGGCGACATTACGACAACTTATCTCCTACTCTGTTGCAGCAAAATATACGGTCAAACCAAACACTAAATTAGTACAATTGTACACAAGCAAAACGGCCCTTTTCAGGGCCACCACAAGAGCCATATACATATAAAACAACAAAACAAAAAGAGATATACCAAGGCAAGGCACAAATTTTATTTCGAAAAAATTTATTTAATATTTAACCAATCTTGAATAACACACGTGGGGCTTTAAATATAAGCCTGCATCTAAAACATAAAACAAAAAGTTTGTTAACAACATTTCACGCTTTTTGTTACTTGTCTAATTGTCAATATTAGTGACAACAGGCTTCGGTGTCACCCCCTTGAAGAATTACTTCTCACCCATCAAGTGCAATGGATCACTCAAAAAAATGACATCATTTTCAGAGGTCAAGCGCTGTGAAATGAACAACGAAAGCAGCAAAAAATAATAATTCAGTGTTTAAAACAAACATGTTAGTCTATGCTCGCTATTGAGATTTGGTCAAGACGGCAGGTCGTCTGAAATAGGTGGGTCGAGATATCTAGGGGTACTGAGTCGAGTTGTCCAATAAAAAATGAGTCGAGATTATTTTATGTCGAGATTTCCAGCACCTTTGAATGAAATTGAATAAAAACAACAACAACAATATCAATAACAACAAGGACATATACATTTCCCCCTTGTATAGCTTGACCCTTATCTAAGATGATACAGACAAGGTAAAAATTAATATCTCTTCATTTTGAGATAAAAGTGAATTGCTGTCTCCTGAATGAAAGAGTTTGTTTTCATGTTTTGTTTTTTATCACGGCATTCGTATATTTCTAACATTGTTGTTTGACCGGGAAAATCCTGAGTATTTGGTAGCAAACGCAAATATCTACAAGTACAAGAGAATACACTCCCTGGCCCAACTATCGGACACTTTTATGTGAAATTCACAAATTACGGGTAAATAACGACGGGCATTATGGCAAACACGGTATCAAACAAAAGCAAAAACACTCTTCTTTCCAATTTTATTCGCCAGTAATTTAACAAGTGCACGCTCAAATATAATTCCGAGGCTGCAACTCCAACAAAGTCGCACTTTCCTGATCCAGGCGTTGTAATCGAGCACTTTACTCAATCGATATACTTTCCAGCTTGTTTTGAATATCCCGAGAATACTTTCCTGATCCAGGCGTTGTAATCGAGCACTTTACTCAATCGATATAATTTCCAGCTTGTTTTGAATCTCCCGCAATTTATTATTAGCACAGTAAAGTTTAGCGGATCAAATCGAACTTACTAGATTTCCAAATTGTAAAAGAAAAACTCCATACCTCCACTAGTGGCCGAAGGTTTGCTTTAGTCTCACATGGTCGCATATAAAACTTCATCGGCTGGCCACTTTCGTTGGTGAACAATGTGGACGAATGCGTGAATTCCCGATCCGCCGCCATGTTGATGGATTCGTGCGGAAACCGGAATAAGTAGATCATAACACTCTGTGTGTAGGGGTGTCCAAGATGGGATCTTACTCACGTAACAACAATTTCATCGTATTAATTGAAATCTCTGTATTATTCTCGAAATATATATATCATAATTTGTTTTTCTAATTGCTATTATTCTTGCTATTATAATGTTTTGATTACATAGCAATATCTGCTTAAAAACTCGTACTGAAAATAGAATAATCCAACTGCCTTATGGGAAGAGGTCACTCCTTGATCTTAAACTACGTGACACGAGGTTTCGACGATTGCCGTTGTATTACACAGCTCACCGTCCTTTAACACAACCTCCACCATGCAGGGTAATCCCGACGTCGACCCAGAAGTCGCACACTTCCTGAATGTAGAATCGCAGAGGCAGCGCTTCCAGACTCTAGTGCACCAGTTAACGGGACAGTGTTGGGACAAATGTCTCGCCGATTCCAGACTCAGTAGCAAAATGGACTCCAAATCGGAGAGCTGCATTGTGAACTGCGTGGAGAGGTTCATCGATACAACAAATTTCATCGTTAATCGATTAGAGAACTCTCACAAATAACTTCGTGACATTTAGGTGAATATAGTTTGGTGTGTGAACTATATCCGTAGTTTTCATTCACTGGGGTCAATGAACTTCATACCAGAATTATCAATATCCAACTAGCAGGACATACCAAATGACAATGATATCAAGGGATGATGGACATACCTGGGCTTTACACAATAGGAACTGTTGAAGGATATAATCGCAACTCAATGAAGAATACTGTACTAAATGTGAGGACTTTTTATCCCAAATGATTTAAAAGAATTGAATGATACCTACTGAACACCTGCATCAGGTCTCCAACATCTATCCTGATTTTGAGATTTTATTCTGATCTAACAACCGCCAGTCATCTGGTAATTCACATTACCATGTTGAGTAAATGGCAGAACTGTAAATGAACGAGTGGATCTGTTTCCTAAAAACAAATTGTCAGGGTGGACATGTATTATTTCCGACAGTGATGACACTTGTTTCATTTATGTATTGAACAGTTATAATATCTTAGTATCATGTACAGCGCTCGGGGATTGCGTTAACCACATATTTTGCTTCCCGGACTCCAATTATTGAAGAGGGACCCAGTTTTTCAGGCAAGCTGGGGTCCAATCTCTAATAAAGTTATAAAGGGTCAAATTTCAATTTCTTAAAATTTTGTAAGTGGGACTCGTCTTGCCGAGACACTAGCGCAAACCCTGAGCGCTGTCTTTATTCCATGTGACAAGTTTTACTACTGAATTTGAGTAATACAATCATTCATTTATCATAACGAGCTGATGTTTAATTCATTGCTGATGTATCCCGTCTTGTTAGAATTTTAAGGGAATGGTCCCATAGCACTGTTCAACGGTGTGGCTTCGGTTTAGAGCAGATGGGGTACATCAGAAGTCAGTATCATATTGAAAATGCTTGAAACTGAAACATAAGCCATGAAAGTCACAAAGTTCCAAATAAAATGTTCACTGCAAAATTTGACAATTTTGTCCGTTTACAGTATTTGTGAAGATTGGGTGACCGGTCTATTAAATGAATTATGTGATTTTATCAAATCCTCCATACTTAGACATACATTGTTAGTGGTACACACATTTTTGGCAATCTGAATTTGATTAATTGATTTTCTTTTGTTATACATCTTTGACTTTACTTGCATCAATTTGGTACGAATATTCTCAACATGAAGTTATTTGTAAATAAGTGGAAACTAAGGCTGGGATATTAGACAACCACTTTAAATGTAATCTTCATGACATCCATGCTTAGACACTAGTGAACTTTTATGATTCACCATTGAATCTCAAATGTGCGCCAACAGTTGTCTGTCAGCATTATAGTGCAACATTGAAAATTCATGTGGCCAGTCTCAGTATCATAGTTGTTACACTGTCATTTTGATGTGGGTCCTATGCGACGTAAATGCATACGTTTGTTTATATTAAAGTTTAATACGTGTGACAACTGGTCATTTACTGACGCCTTGCATGTGTTCAGATTCCTGCAACTTGAATTCTACATACTTCAAAGTACAAATATATGCCGGAAAGAACAGATGCGAGCTGAATCCAAGACGAACTGTACACTATCTCGATGTGAATGATGTTTAATAAAATATCCTACAGTTTTGACAAATCCTTGCCAGTGAAATAGTTAATACCATTTAACAAAGTAAAATACAATAAACGCACTTTTATGCCCTTTGTGACATGTAAACATTGCCTGATTTGAACCACTTACAGATGTAAAGTAAGACATGGAGAAGGTAAAGTGATTTTCCTACAAGTGTGTATTACACAGTACAATAGCACATTTCATTCAATATTCATTCATGGGTTAAACTTAGTAACTTGGGACTTACCCCCATTTGGTCAGTTAGGAAAGACTTGATTCATCTGCCCAACTAAAATCTGCCAGTGTGGGACGTGTCAACAGGCCTTAATGAATCGTATTTATTATCGCACTTTCATTTTCTACCAGTTGGCAAAAATCTTGATTGGTCTAGGCATGTCAGATACGTGTATCGTGCATGTGAAGTTTTAAATTGATTTGTCCTGGCATGTACAAGATGTGGCATTTTGAAACTGCATTTGTTTAAACAAGACTGCCAGTGAACCATTTTGGATTTGACAGACGATGCTAGACACAAGTCAGTTATCTGGTGAGCTGGGTAAACCAACATGCATCTGTGGGATTGTCCCCCCCCCTCTCTCTCTCCCTACAACGGTCTGGAGCTGCTAAGCTTTCTCCTTCACAGTCAAAGAATGACCACAGCATAGATTATGAATGTTCTAGATTTCCATAATTAGGTTACATGTATATGGCTATCTGCTATAAATATCCCAAATATAATGCAGATGTCCCAATTTGACCCACACACAAGACTGCACACAAAATATTTTGCGATCATTTCTTTTAATGCTACATACGAGTGATCTGCACGCTTCTCCCCCTATATTTAAGACATACAGCATAAAAGTTTGACTACAGTTAAACCAGCAGCATGCATGTCAACACATCATGCACAAAATACTTGAAACATAGTACATTATTAATTTGGAAAGACAAATAATGTATTACTCGTTTATGTTTATATTTACATACACAGAACAATTAAATGTTCAGTTTCATTTTCACATGCCCGTTTCATGCAGGGCCATTTAAAAAAAAACAGTACCTGTTCTAGCCTGCGTCACATTTTTAGATTTTCACATGTATGATAGAATAAATATTGCTTTATACATTGTGCATACCTTATCAGCATAGCAGAAAATATTGAAATTGATCTATTACCATCAAATATCTAAAAGAGGGACAAGTAGAATCAAGGGTAGATATAAACCTATAATAACAATTTTTTGGGAAAACGTCAAAACATTATGTAGTGGGGAAAAAAACTTAATTCCATTAGTATGGGAAAGGAACTGCTATGGGCCTGAAACAAGTCTATCCGACAAAATCTGTTTTACTTTTTAATGCGTCCTCATTCATCATAAATTTGTGATGAATTTTTGATATCCAAGCTTTAAAGTTATTAACATTGTTTATTTTAATATTTGACACTCAATCAATGACAGAATTATAAATCAATCATAGAATCTGTTTATGATAAACATGGTTTGGCAAAACATGTTCAGATCAGGTGCCGAAGAAAAATTAAGGAATCAAGTTTTTTTATTCTACATCAATCTTTTGACGTTGCCCTTAGATTGTTGTAATTGTTAACATCAGAGCAGGACATCCAACCCTTCATTTGTTTATGAGCGAGTCGCTGCAATTCTGCTTATATTCTGAATATTTACTCTAAGAAATGGTTAATAATACCAGATACACGACTTATAATAGAATACAATACAATAACACTTTATGCAGGCATGCACACCAGAATAGATAGCATGTGGTTTTTGTGGAACACAAATCAGTGTCATATTGTAGACACAGATTACTACTGTATTTTCTCTATTAGAAGCACAACTCCAATAGAACATTAGAAGCACAAAACCCAAAATCATGCTGGCTGTATACTAAATCATTAAAATATTTTGACCGTTGCTACTAATAGAGTAAATATGGTATTACAATTAGTAGTACTCGGTACTTCAGCGTGCAATACTATATGTCTATAATACAGTACCCACACCAATGTGTACAAGTAGTAGGCACATGTACCGGTATATAAACAGGATAGAAGAGATTATCACTGTATGTTGTTTTCTAGACTCGATGACCTTAAATATAGTTATTATTGATTTATAGGTCTACATGTTGGTTGTATGGTGTGTCACTGTTGCTGAGAACAGTCTTCCAATATAAATTGTTAAATTGGATGCCCAACAGTCTCAGAGAGTGGGCACAGTAACACAACATACATACCAACACTATAACCTCTCCACTAGGGCTGATTCAGAGCCATGCAAATATACATCTTGAAAATTTCCCCAACTCTTCAAAAAGTAACATGAGAGCAACAAAAATATTGTTTGCCCTTGATAGGTTTAATATCTATTTTTGTTATTGACACATATTAAGATGTCTACTCTACAGACTATCATAGCACAAAGTCACGGCACACAGAAAAGGTAATATCTACAGTACAAGAACATAGTATTTTTAGAAAAAAATAGTGATTACAAACCACACCAAGTTACAATTTTCAAAAATCGCATATTCATCCTGTTTGCGTTATTCATTAATTATTTACACATTCAACAACATCATTTTACTTTACTTATTACTTAAATTGTATGCAGTAAAAATTGATAAAGATCCCAATCTTAAATACAATGAAAGCTCTCAAAACACCAATTTCTCAACAACAAAAAAAAAAAAAGAAGTAGAGAAATAAGCGCTAAAAAAAAAGTAAAGAAAAAGCACTTGATGTAAAGGCTGTCAAATTTGTTTTTCATAGATGATGAGAAGCATGTGAATGACAATAATGCGTGTTGAAAATTAATGTCTAAACTATGGAAAGTTGGTTTTCTTGAAAATCCTGAATACGGACATTATAGCCATTATGTTGTTGGTGTGCATCAAGTGGGGGAAACCACTTTAGGGCGATGATTCGCAGTGATAATAACAAAAGAAATAAAAGAACAGCATGAGTGTGCATAATTTTTATGTGTGTCTCCTCACCGTAGATAACAGTATAAAAACCTTGATACTGACTGGTCTGCACACAGTGTGGTGCTTTACTTTGTTATTTTCACTGGGCATCCCTGCTTGTGAGCGATTCCCCACTCACTAAGTTACAATTGAATGAATAACTGTTGTATCAACAATTTTCAGATCATGCTTCTACACCACACTTCTTGCAATATAGTGTCACAGTACAATTTATATTCCTGGTTTTGCTTGTAGATGATTACTTATAAAAAGAAACTGGACAACCTTCAATCAAAGTACTTTTTTTATATAAATAAACTACCAGTAGATGAAGATATCTTGTCAAAAAAGAAAAAGCTAAAAATGTTTCCTCCATTCAACTGGAAGATGTGGATTTCAATAATATGATTGTTATTTTTTTTTTCAATAAATTACAGATTTAAAGTAACTAGAATATCAAATGAGTAAAGGAGTCAGCCTATTAAAATAAGGGTTGTTTGAATAGTCCTACATGGACAGAGGGCAGTAGACCAATGTTGCTTTCTGGTAGAATGACGAAAGTACTCTTTCACTGGTGAATTCAAGATGTTATTAGACCTAAACCTTAATTGAATGTTTACAGTTCAAAAATGTAGTGCTCGTCTGCAACTTTAATGAGGCAGTTAAATTTGCTTGCTCATACGTGCACACTAAAGAGAACAACAAAACTGGAGACTAAACGTATCAGTGTTATCTGGAAGTGTTGAGACAGTGAAGTATTTGCACACGATACCATCTACTGTAAAAGGGTTAATTATTCACTGGGTTTTAATTTAGCTTATTTCGCTGATTGGAAAATGTGCTAAATTAAAACCCAGCGAATATGTAAAATTCAGCATAGAACACATTATCTAAATGATAAAACTGTGAATTTAAAACCCACTGAATATGCCTGAAATGGTAAATCAGTGAAATTTACGGTAAACCCAGTGAAAATTAGTCATTTTACAGTATGTAGCAGGGAGGGCCTTATTTCTGTTTACACATTAAACAGGATTACCTTATGAGGCATAGATAGGCAGAATTTATTGACAAAATAAAGAGATTAATGTCCCCTTAACTGGGTAATAAATAACCCAAAAAGAACAGGAACATGCTTATTGAGTGATTGTCATCAACCTCTAATAATTTAGACAAATGATCAAAATTCAAGTTTAGATAAAGATGAAAAAGAATTTTATCATTCTAACAATTGCAACATTTACAGACAGAAAAGGTTAACTAATACAAAGTAAAACTTCAATGTTGTTGATCAGTCTCCAAGAATGAAGGTACAGTCTCTGATGGGGTCTTCAGTTTAATACTGAATTGCTTGAGTGTGGCGTCCAAGGCATCCTGGTTACCGGAGAAGTAAGCAGATATTGCATTGTGGAACAACAGTAGTTGTTTATGCATCACTTTCACCTGAAATATGGAGAATAATGTACAATTCCATTATAAATCTGCTTGTGTATGTTTGCAATCACAAAAACCTGTCTAAGTTGGAAGCCTGTCTAAATAGAGCCCTGTGTAAACTGGAAAACTGTCTAAACTTATCTACACAAAAAAACAACTGAGAATAGAAAATAACCCCACTGAACACTTTGGAGTTTGGTTTTAGACAGATTTATAATTTATAAATTGTGCCACAGTCACCATGCATGTACCATCATATTTCACATTGAGTTCATACGACGTATGCAGTTTACCTGTAATGTGAGTGATCTTGGTCTTTTTTGGGCGTTTGACTACTATGCTAATTTAAATTATGAAAAAGGGGCAGTCATCTTCTTTTACTAAGTGAATCAAAACATTTATTTATCAAAATATTTATTATCTCACAACAAAGGAAAAGTTCTTGCCTTATTCTCTTCTAGAAATTTCAGTTTAATCGCAACATCAGCTCTCAACTTATCAAACTTTTCTTTGTGTAAATTATGTTTGGTCTTGGCTTCTTCTAATTTAGTTGCAGTGCCACCATCTCTTGGACCAAGCTGCAGGGACTCCATGTCTGTCCTATAGGCATCATATTCAACCCTACAGAGAAATATAAAGATTGATGGTTTATATAGGAATGCATGCACACGATTATATAATTTTACAGATTATTTCTGTAATTATTTTTTTTGTGCCAGGTGACAGTCCTGACATTGAATATCACTGTTGTCTCAAGGGTATATGGGCAGCAAGTACCGTAAAATCTGTATTAGAAGCCGCATCTCTAATATAAGTAGCACCTATTCCTTTTGAACAATTTAGAACCAAACATTTACCACTTCTCATTTACCATTTCTCGTCCCCTGTTGCATTGTATCATTTTAAGCCGATGACCTGGCGCAGATCAGTGGTCACACACCCTTGGCAGACCAATGCATGCTGCAGCAGAGGTGAACAATGCAATGGTACTTAACACTTATTAGTCTCCAAAACTATAATGTATTACACAAACTATTTTGTATATTTAAGCAATAACCCCCGCCGAAGGCGGGTATACCACGAGATATTGCACAATTCACGACATA